GGGCTTTCAGCGTATTTTTCGATGCGTTTTTCTCGATGAAGGAATTTTTTTCGATTTTTTTCTTTATTTTTATGTCAATCTACATGCTTTACTGCACATTTTGATGCAATAAAAAATTCCACCGTAGACCCCCTTTAATCGTTTGTTCTTATTTTCTGGAAAATGAATTCTGCAGTTATACTTTTTGTAATTGTGGGATCTCAATTGTGTTTAATAAATTGACATAATTATATGTTCATCATGAAACCGATACTTTTTTGTTTCAAAACTAACTGCATAAGATCGGCCAGTTGCCCATGAATATCGCCAAAAACAACAACCGGCGCGACGACTTCAATCAATGAAGGAAGGGGCTCCAAAAGTTCTTTCATCTGAACTTTTTGGAATTTCGAATTACTGCCAAATCTTTCTAGTTACCGTTTTCAACATTTCCATCAAGTCGCTATCAGCAAATCCTTCCAAAGTTCCAAACTTCTCGATTCGAACTATCATTTGACGACATAGCTCGTGGATTTCTGTGTTTGCTTGTTCCTGAAAATCATTGAAAAGTTAAAAAAAAAACTTAGGAATCTTGAAAGTATGAGGAATTCATAATCCAAAATTGCCGATTTTCAGATTCGCACAATCTAGGGATTAAAAAAAAAATTTAAAATTAGATCGAGGAATCGAGAAAATATAGTTGAAATCTCGACAAATCGACTTTTTGAAGCCTTGAAAATCTTGAATTTTTTCAAATTCAGATTCTAGGAACTCAATATCCTAAAAATTGTAAACTGACATTTTCAAGTTTCGAAATATCAGGATCTCAATATCTGTTAGATCTAGAAATACACAAGTCGCCAACACCTAGAATTTTCACAATTCCAGGTTCTTTAAAGTTTAGATTCTGGAATCCAGAAACGCAAGAATCTCAAAATTCAAAATTCAAAACTTCAAATTTTCAAGCCATTGAAATATTAGATAGCGAAATTCTGTGGAAATTTTGACTTTGACACGTTTTATCTCGGTTCCTGTAAAAGATATTAATAAGTAGTCAACTGATGAATTGTTTATCATAATATCATGAACATTTTATAAGTTGACACATTTTTGATATCTCTTACAGTAAAATAGATAAATTAGGTCAAAGTTGACATTGGGGGGGGGGGGGGTTTCTATTACACGTTTTACGGTAACAAAAAAATTAGAAATCTAGCAACGCAAAAAAGAAAGCAGACTTTGAAATCGAGAATGATAAGTTAATACAAATTTAAAAAGGAAATGTCAAAAATGTACAAAAAAGCTCAACAATCCCCCTTCACGAACCGTTTCAAACATTTTTCTTTTTCGAGAATTTTGGGATTTCAATGGTTTTTTCTTTGTTGATTGATCACCAAAACCCTTGTAAAATGACACTTTTCTCTCCTTTATAAAGACCAAATTTCATTTTTTCAGTCATTTTTCGAAAGAGTTCACGCGATATATCACATTCCTCCTTTCTTTTTTTTCATATCAACACGTGAATTCCCTCCTTCACAAAATATCTCTTTTGATCCCAAATACCTTCTGATGATTTCAAAGGACCATAACACGAGAGACCACGATTGAGATGGAGGGATTAGACAGTGAGAGGAAAGCGAGAGAGCGTATGGATTGAAGAGACGCAGAGAGCTCTATCATCTCGGACATTCGACCCTCACGGACCCAAGACACAACTTTGTATCATTTCTCAGCTATCATCATCATCATCATCATTATATGTCTCACTTTTTAATTTATTTGTTCTTTTTCTGTTTGTTCTTTTCGAGTTTTTAATAAATTTTGAGCTTTTCAAAAATTACAGTAATCCGATGATATCCTTATCAATTGTTCTTCTGTTGTTTGGAGTGCGATGTTTCGATTCGACAGGTGAGTCAGATAAAAAAAAAAGAACAGAAAAATGTGGTCACAAGTGAGTGTGTCAACTGATATCATGACATCAGTATGAAGGATTACTGTAGACGAGGAATTTAACATTTGAAAAAAGTATCTTTCCTATTAGGTTGGCAGGAAAGTAAATGTCCCTTGTTTTATTTGTGAATAATACAAAAGAAGGATTAATCCAAGATTAGCAGTATGCATCGTCGTGGTCCACGACATGTTGGCAATGTTCAGATAACTTGTGGATACAATACCTTCAAAAGCCAGCTAGCCGCGAATCAAAGTATTCATTTTTTTCTGTTTTTCTCTCCGAATATCCAATAATCTGATAGAGCTCAGTCGGGACTATAAGTAGGTGAGGGAGAACGGTCCCGCTGAAGCTGCTCAGGTCTGACTTGACTGCAGGTAAAAAATGAAAAAACCTCATGTTCACGGAAAGTCACGCCGCCCGTTAAAGACCTGATTCAGCTATATCAGATCATTGGTTATTCAAAAGTATACGACGTCATCTGGAGCTTAAGGACTTTAACACAATTGATGCCTGAGAAAATGGACTGGAGGGATACTTTGACTTGCCACTAGCTGGCTTTTGAAGGTATTGTATCCACAAGTTACCTGAACATTGCCAGCATGTTGTGGATCACGACGGTGCATATTGCTAATTCTGGATTATTCTTGTGTTTGTGTTATTTACTCATAAAAAATGGGCAGTTACTTTCCTGCCAACCTAATAGTTCAGAAATTACGATATTTCTCTGTTTTGAGCTTCTATCGAGAACTGGTTTCTTTAATGTTTTGAAGAAACGCAGACAGTTAGAGTGTCTCTTTTGCCTGTGTCTACTCAACTGTTTAAGAACTATATCTCGGCTTCAAGATAAGCTACAAATTTCAGCTTTCATGAGGAAAAAATTATAAAAATTGATTCAGATTCTGGCAAAAAATCGAAATTCTAGACATCAGTGTTTTCATATAAATCTACTTTTTTGAAAACAATACCAGTGTAATTTTTCCTGGACAAAATATCCAAAAATAACAAAAACCATTCAGCAAAAAAGTTTGAATCAAAAATTACTGTATCAACTACACAACATCAAACGTATTAACGGTCCACTAACCTGAAAAATTCAAACATTTCTATGTTCATCACGAAACCGACATTTTTTCTTTTCAAAACTAACTTCATAAGGTTGGCAGGCTGCCCATGAATATCGTTGACCCCATCGTAATATCTATCCCAGGAAACGAGATAAATTGAAGAAAAGTTAAATGATCCAGTAATAATTTTACTAAGTTTAACTATGGTTTGCTTGATATTCTCTGAAATTTTTCGAATCTATTTTCTTGACCGTTATCAAGTTATCTTTTTTTAGCGTTACCGTGTTCTATTACATTTGAAGTGAGGGCCCATTTTCGATGACAACCTGAAACAGTAGCAATACTGAAAATGCTCTAATAGAAGCCCACGATAACAAAAAGTGGTAAACTGAAAAAATGTTTATCATGATTTCAAAAATATTTTGACCGATGACCACTCTTTTATACAGTTTTTTTATGTAGCTTAAGTTTAGAGTTATTGTTGACACTATTGAAGCAAACACAGTATTAGCATTATCTTGAAGACTTTCAGGTCAAGTGAACGACGACTCACCCATAACAATCTCATCTACGATTGACAGCTTATTGAACATCAACGTAACAGTTGAAAAGAAACCATTCTTCACAGGATATGTAACCGGATACAAACTATACTACACCAAAGATACAAGTCAAACAAATGATGAATATTCAAAATGGAATCAGCAAGAAGTTCTTTCTCGAGATAATTTATATCATTTTTGGATTGATGCCAGACGAAATTCCATTGTAAAAGGAATGACTTTTCGGGCGAGAGCTACGATTTTCTTCAATAATGTGGAGAGTATTCCAACTGGAGTTCTAACAGTTCAAACGAAATTAGCTGCTCCGAAGGCTCCGTTAATTGTTAATACGAAGATTCTGCATAATTCTTCTGTACTCATTTCGTTTGTATCTGCTGATGATGTGGAGCCTGTTGAGGTTAGTTTTTAGAAACTTCCGTATCTCACTAGAAGTTGTACGAAACTCCATGAAAATAATATCTTTGAATTCGACTCAATAAAAGTTTCAAAATGAGTACAAATACGACTAGTTTTGCGGAAATTCAGAATTTTCGGGGCATGACCCAAATTTCAAAAAATGTTCAGAACATAGTCATGTTTATACTCATTTTGAAGCTCTTATCACGACGAACTTAAAAATGTTAGTCCCATCAAATTTGGTACCGTGCCCACTGAGATGCGGTAGTTTCAAAGTTATAGACATAAAAAAGTAATTTCAAATCTTTTGGTTTACAATCGAAATATTTTGGAAATTATCGAAACTACCGTATCTCATTGGATACTGTACAAAATTCGACAAAAATAATATTGGTAAATTTGGCTTGAATAGAGCTTCAAAATGAGTATAAACATGACTAGTTTTCTCAAAACTTTCAATTTTCGTGGCGGGACCCAAATTTTAAAACATTTTCAAAACATAAACATGTTTATACTCATTTTGAAGCTTTTATCACGGCAATATTGCAATTTTTATTGTATCAAGGGTAGTACCGTACCCATTGAGATACGGTAGCTTCAATATTTAAGAAATTCTGAAAAAAAAAGTTGTGAATTTCTAAAAACATTTTCAAAACATAGTACTCATTTTAAAACTCTCATCATTAGTCTTCCCAAAATTACCATATCTCAAAAAATCATATCGTTTTCAGAATTACACACTGATGTACAAAAAAACTGAGGAAGATGAATGGAAAGCATCGAATTTTCAGTCGGATGTTGATGGAAAGGTAACGTCTCCAAAAGTTTTAACTGTTTCATAGACTTCATAATCTTTGGAACCATTTTCTTACATTGATACTACTACATTTCCAGGTCCTTCTCGATGGTCTTACCCCAAACCAAACGTACGAAATAAAGATGTTTGTTACTGGTGACGCCGTCCAAGGAATCCCATCAAACTCCGCCTCTTTTACAACCAATACAACAGCTTTGGCACTTGTAAAAACCGAACCAGAGGAAGAATATTCAGCCGATCCACAGACCAATGAACCGTTGAGTATTATGTGCACTGTCAAATCAGTTAGCAAGGCTACAGTACTCTGGAAGGTTAACGGTGAGGATTTTTAAGAGTTTCGAATCCAGAATTATAAACATTTTAGGAATAAAAGTGTCGGTGGATTCTAGTTTCTATACAGTTGTCACTTCAGTGCATGAGGATTTTATCGAGTCGACAATCAGAGCAAAGTCTAGGACAAGATCCGCAAAATTCACATGCATCGCTTCGAATGATGCTGGAGATTCCGCAAAAGATGTTAATGTGAGTTGTAGTTTTTGTAGTTTTTGTAGTTTGTAGCTTTTTCAGGTTATTATAAAAGGACCTGGAAGTCCACCATCTGAAATCACTTTGGTTGCTGAAATACGTGGATATACAATTTCATGGAAACCACCATCTCATCCAAATGGAAAGATTACGGTAACAGTTTTTTAAAGTTCGATTCCAGCTGTTTTCATCAACCAATTTTACGAAATTTTCACATAAGAATTATCTGAAACCTTAATTTATTGATTCCAGAAATACGTAGTGTATCACACATTGAATCGAGATGATCCATTATCAGATTGGAAGAAAATCGATTTGGATGGATCTGAAAAATACGTTCAAATTTATATGGATACCGAGGAGAGTTTTTATGGAAGAGTTCAAGCGGCGACCGAATTGGGACCTGGAATTATTTCCGACATTGTGGCCATGGAAAGGGATAGTGAGTTGAATTGAAAAAAAACATCGAAAATTACTACAATTTTAAGCCAAAAATTGCGAAAATTGATTGAAAACTAGTCGAGCATTAATGATTAGAAATTTTGGAATCAAACTAGTTTTAAAAAAGGTCAATATTTTGGTCAACGGATGATTCGTGATTAGAAAAATGCAAAAATGTCGGAAACTTGGAATGAAATTGAAACATAAAAAACTTTTCAGGCCAAATTCTTCCTGACCCAATTTTTTGTCTAGGTCACGACCTAGTTTTTCTATTGTCTATCCAAATTAAAACGTGGNNNGGNNCNGANNNTTTCTAGGGTATGACCTAATTTTTTCTGGAGTTTTCTAGGTCATGAACTAATTTTATCCAGGTCATGACCCAATTTTTTCCTAGGTGCCGATCTAATTTTTCACGACCTAAATTTTTCCAGATTTTCTAGGTCATGACATAATTTTGAGCCTCAGTAAGTCCAAATCATTCTTTAAATGTTGAATGTCTTCGAAAAAATTCGCAAAGTTCACTGCTACAACAGTGTTTTGAATATTCGTTTAGCAACACTTTGAAAATTATTTTTATATAAATCGTTCAATTTTTCAGCTCAACCAATTTCTGTGGAATCGGATATTGGTGGAGTCTCGGCGACAACAATGGTGGTGAATCCCAGAGAACAGGTAAAAAATTTTTCTTTAAAATGTTATTTTTTCTATTTCAAGCGATTAGTAATAATAGCAGTAAAATATTCTATTGCAAGGACTGTATGTGGACTACAAATAAAAAAAAAAAACTTCTTTGTGTTCCATGTTTTCTATAAATTCGTATCGCGAAATGATTGAACCGATGAAATCCAAGGTTTTCAGATCACAATCCACTGTACCGCCCGTGGCAAGCCCCGCCCATCGATATCAGTTGCAACCAGTGATCGAAAAAATGCGAGTCATGTGGAAGTGGATGTCTGGAATCGTCTTCAAGCCACGTCATCTGCTGGCGTCGTTTCCGCAATGCACAATTTCTCAGTGCTCACTTCGAAATACGTTCATTGTCGGGCGAAGAATTCGGCTGGAAGCAATTATTCTACAATTGAGCTTAAAGTTGATAGTGAGTATGCGCCTTCCTTAAGGATTGTCGAAGATACGCCCCACTCGAATTCTCGCCAATGAAATTAGACCATAGTGTTTTTTTTGAATACGATCAAAACACATTTCGGTTTCATGCATATTTTAAAAGTTCTACTGAATATTTCCATTTTGATGGTTGATGTTTTTAAAAGTCAAAACTCCAGACAATTAAAAATAGTTGTAAAAATCCAGAAGAACCAAAAAACTGATTTTTCAGAGCCTGGAGATGCTCCAACCCAGATCCAAGTGCTCAGTGTAAATGCACTTGATGCTACCGTAGTCTGGCACGCTCCGCAGTTTCCAAATTCGCCGATTACTGTAAGTTCTTCGGGAAACTGGGTGTCTCGTTTTCTCAACAAAAAAAACACTAGAGATCATTTTCGGGCGGAAACTTTTCCAAAACAATTTTTTTCCTCCCATAACAGACTTGGGATTCTCCAAAAAATACTGATAGCTTTAACACAATTATTTGAAACTTGTAAAAAAAATTATTCTCAGAGCTATATTATTCTGGCTAGTAATGACCCAAAAGAAGACAAATCCACGTGGCTACAGTATGAATCGAATGCCAAAGAGACGCAGATTAATAGGTATCTTTACAAGAGTCAAAATGTGAAAAAAATTAAAATTCCAGAATGCTTCTCCCAACTGGAAGTCTAGAAAAATCAACAGAATATTTTGTATGTGTCCGCGCAAAAAATACGGCTGGAATTGGTCCAACGAGTAGTCTCACTTCATTTGTAACGTTGAATGGAGGACCAGATGGAAAACCGGAGAATATGAAAGTGATGATAAATGAGGCAAATCAAGTGATTGTTCATTGGAATACACCGAATTCGACGACAGAGGTTACGGTAGGTTTTGGAGATTTTTTTAAAGCTGAAAATAATCCGAAAAACTTTTCTGTTATGACTTCTGTTTGATTTCATGAAAATTAGTCAGGATTTATTCTACAGTATACGACTAAAGAAATGAAAAAAGAGCTGCAAAGTATTCATGAAAATATGGTGCACATATGGAAAAAAAAACTATTGACAAATTTTTAAGAATCAACTTTTACAATTATTTCGTTTCAGGGCTACCTAATCTACTACACCCGTGACTTGAGTCTATCCAATGATGACTATAAGAATTGGCAGTTTGTGGAAATGAACAATAACGCTACTCGGTGGGTCTTTTGATCTAAAAATTGAAATTTCATAAGAATTCTGTTCTAATGATTTTGAGACCCGTTTGTGCTGGCTTAGTGGAATATCCGAAAACCCCTATTTTTTATTTCAGCATTTCTCGAAACCGTGAATTTATTAAATTAGTTTTAAGATACAAATTCGATTTGTCTGTCGGATTGAAACCTAAGACATTCTACCGAGCCAGAATAGCCGGGAAAAATTTGCACGCCGATGGTCCGCCAAGTGAAGTTGTCGAGTTTGAGACTGCGTATTCTGGTTAGTTTGGCAGAAACTGGGAACTGGAACGATCGAATTCTCAAGTGTAACATTTCTAAAAAAAACAGTTGTGAAACCGGAATTTCAGTGTAAGAAAAACATAATGTTAGTCCGTTTTATCGAAGAGTCTCAGTCAATCATAAAAAATGGTTTCTCTGAAACATAAAATATGTTTTACTCTAAAGTCTGTAAGGTCCCCTCTCTAACCGTTAACTTTGACCAAATTTATCTCGATTCTTGTAAGGTATCAAAAAAAAGTTTAACCGACAAAATAGTATTTATATTTTGACAAAAATTTTTTCGACCAATTGGGGAGTCTCAATCGATCCTATGAAAATGAATTTTAGGAAACAGAAACATTTTTTACAGAAGTTCCGATTCCAACGGATCTCAAAACAGACGTATTGGATGACAATACGATACATATCAGGTTTAGTGCTGTAAGAGATCCAGATGATCATTCGAAGGCTATCGATGTGAGTTTCTGTTTCAATAGTAATTGAGGGGATTTTTGTTTTTAAAACTGTTGCAAATAAATCATTTCTATGCGGAAGGAGGAAGTCGGCATTCCTGGGTTTACATTTGTTATAATACCATAAAAATGACTACCTGTATTAGAAGGCTGGCCCTTCTATTGCTCCAAAAGTACAGTCGAAGGTCCCTTAATGGGGTTATTTAGGGAGTCGGCAAAATGTTCCCTATAGTTTTCTCCAGTTTTCCCCAAAGCTTCAGCCAGATTGGAACACTCTCCGAGTTTTCGCGGAGTTTTTTTCCTTTTTTGCCGACTCCCTGAATAACCCCAATTCGAGGGGCCCTTCCACTTTTCCAGCCATTTTTCAGGAAATTTCCTTTTAAATCAGGGAATTCTCAATCAAAATTCATGAAAATCTATCAGTGTCACCAAAATTAAGGAAGCCGCTCTGTTAAAAGGGGCTCTTCTATTGAAGGTGCTTTCTCGGTGGGCCCTTCTATTAGAGTGAGCGTTCTAATACCTGTTTTACGGAAACAAAATACATTGGAACAGTTGTGACACAATTTAGTATTGCCTAGATCCATTGAAAATTCATTATTAACGAAATTTATGATTCATAGCACACTTAGCCGTAAAACCCAGTCGTTTGTTAAAGTTCGACAATGCTTTTTTTTCTGACATCACAAATCAGAAACGGTAAGTTTTCTGGTTGTGTTTTTTGGATCATCAAAAACCGTTCGATCCCACATTTCGTTAAAATTTCTATTCTTTATTCAGGAATATCGAATCGACTTGGCCGCTACAGACAATGTTCTTCATGCAGAATGGAAACATATTGAACCGGATGCCATTCGAATCGATGAAATCACTTCCATGGTAACTTCTTTTTGAAACTTCATTTGAAATGTTATCCACATTTGGCGGGCGCATTAGATTATCTTTTTGTGTAAACTTCAAATCGTAATTTTGTAACAGTGTTTTGTTTTTCTCATCTAGGAGGCTTGTAGTAGGAGTATTTTGTGCAACAGAAATGAAATGAGTCTCACCAGGTAGATGTGGAAATCAATGGAGATTCGGTGGAAAAGAATCGGATGTATTGGGTCAAAGTTACTGCGAAATTGGATAATCCAGCGTGGGGTCTGCATTCATCGAAGCCCAGATGGTTCAAGACAGGACATGGAAGTGAGTTATACATTTGATCACACTAAAGTGTATCTGTGAGATATGGTCATACAAAGTGTTTGAAACAGTAAACATTTGTGAGGAAGTTTGAATTGAGCCAACTAGTTGCTAATTTTGCTAGGCAGCTTAATTCAATCAAAACTTCCGAACAAGTTTCTACGGTTTCATACACTTTGTATGACCGTATCTCATATTCATATATAGTGTGTTCTGGTAATTGTCGTTCAAAAAAGATTTTCCTGTCCCGTTCCCTCTCTTAAAACTTCCAATAAAAGTGCCCCTTAATCAACTTTGACAAAGTTTATAGCTAAGAAGGATATGAGAAAATGTATAACTGACAAAATGCTCATCATAATATCAGCAACATTTTGTCAGTTAATCACTTCTTGTTATTTTTCACAAAATTCAAGAACAATTGGCTTGAAGTTGGTTGTCAGGGGACACTTTAATATTAGAGGGGTTTTTCACTTTTTGGGCTTTAATTTTTGCTAGAATTAATTGATTTTTTTTGACAGTCAAAACTTCTTGACACTCCTTTTTTGTTACATATTTTATTGAAAATTAGAACTATTTTTCTATCGGTATTTGTTAACAATAAGACACTTGTCGCTAAAAAAATATTTTTTTTTCCGTTTCAAAAACATTGTATCCATCTTTCATGTCCCCCAAAATTTACTGGTCCTACATTAATTAATTTTTTAATTTTTTCCAGAACTAATGACATCTGTCGTACTGGATGGTCCTCCGCTCATCGAAAAAGAGCCAAACTTGTCTGAAAACATATCAGTAACATGTACTGGAATGGGAAGCCCTGCACCAATAATCACATGGGAATGGATGAATGAATCAATTGAGAATGGGACAGAAGGATGGGATATTCATAACAGCCAGTTGGATGAGACTACTCTTGTGTGAGTTTTTCTTGTGGTGTTCTTTCACACTTAAGACTTTGTGGGCTAGACAGACCTGTTTGAGAGAAACATTCAAGATAAAGCAAAAATGTTTTTATCAAAAAAGACGAAATAAATCCTAAATCTGAAACATTAAAAATTTGAAACAGTTTAAAGTACCTTTAATTTATGACTTCTCAAAGTTCCATTTAACACTAGGAATCTAAAGATTGCATGACGGATTCGGATATTAGACACTTTCAGACAGTCTAGTTTGTTATAGTGTATTCCAAATTGTGTTTCAAGTTTCAGATAAAAACTTATTGGTTCAAAACCCTTAAAATTATTTTTTTTTTGTACGAAATGAATTTGTTGAGATAAACTTTGCATATTGATTGAGTTCTTATTTGTATGTTTCTCTAAACAATGTAGATGAAACAGAACAAAAATACTTCTCATAATCATTATGCAAAATTTGGCAAATCAAAATGTTTTATTTCAAATCTTATAAAATTGCAAAATGAAACAGAACAAGAACTATAGGAATACACGACTTGAAAATATCTATGAATTTTCAATTCCTTACTCCACCGTTTATGACTCCTCAAAGTTTCAGGAAACACTAAAAATTTGATTGTGAGAACTACACGATACATATTTCAGATCGATGACGTTTTCGAATATGAAGGTTCATATTTAAAAAATTGGTTCGAATCGAAACTTTACACAAACGCTTGGAAAATTTTTACTTGATCACGCTCTCCCACAGAACAATTCCGAACTGCAAATTAATTTTTGATCTACAGAAAAAAAAGTTTGGCGCGATCACAATTGCAGGTCTAAAACCATAATTTCAGAATTTTTTATCTGATTTTGTGGAGTTCCAAGATGATTCAAATGATTCTTTAAAAAATTAATTAGTGGTTATAGATTCATGTATGCTCCTTTTCCGGAATAAAAAATATCAAAAATGGTCATTTTTGAAAGTTTTTTACAGAAAAAATCTATCTCCTCTTTCAGTTTTTGACATTTTTAGGAGTTCTATAGCTCAAAAAACCGCAATTATTTTCTCTACATTTTCTATAGATGAATTTCAATTTGTCTGATAAAACTTTTTTTATAATTCAAAAACCTCATGAAATTGCAAAAAATAGCATTTTTGCGTTGTTTTTTGATTATAAAAAAGTTTTATCAGACGAATTAAAAATTCATTTATAGAAAATGTAGAGAAAATAATTGCGGTTTTTTTGAGCTAT